AACACCGAAAGCATTGGATGCCGAATCGCCTGGTACACGGAGACTGATGCCTGAGTGTGAGGTTGGATCAGGAGAGTGAAGGGAGATGGACATGGTCGATGTGAAAAGTACGGTAGCCCCATCGATCTGAACCTGAACCTCTCACAATTGACATACGATATGTGATTCAAGAAAGACACCAAATCATGACGTATTCCACTTTTTTACGGATTTTCCATCTGTCACTAATCAACGAGTTTCGAGTGAGTAGCGTACTGCTTTAGTTATTAAAAGCCAAACTATACATATATTACTCAATCGTTCAAATGAAATAGAGCTATTTTCGAGTAACCGTAGGTTGTGCATCACAAAATTGTTCACAAGGCAGTTTCGCTTCAATTTCGTGTCCGTTAGCTTGCCCATTTGATTATGCAATGGATGATACGATAAGAATATCGCCTTTTCTTTGACTTTGCATGCCTGTTCTTCTTATCTTATTGGCTCATCTATTACTCTTACCTTGTGTGCGTGTTAACTGCTTCCTCACCTAGAGCCGTATGGGAATATTTATCGGAAGAATTCGAAGCAAGTTGTCAATATCGGTGGCTTCGTATCCGACAGCCCTAGTGCCACAGTCGTTTTCACTTTAACCGCTTCATCCATATACTAACATGAGCCAATTTTCGGTCTCGATAAACATCAACCAGTCCGAAACAACTGCCCAGTGGTCCTTCGTTCATGTTTTGTTTGCTATGTGCAGGAAAAACTTTCTTAATCAACCTAGGTAAGAGTTAAGTGAGAAATTCAATAAGCGACCCAATAATTTTAATGCCTATCCTTTGGAAAAAAAAGTGAAAACGGATCGGCTAGAATGACTGCATTAGGATAGAGAATTTGCAATAGCTTGAGCCGAACGAGTGGTCAGGCATCAATATAAAACTGTTGGAGTCACAATTTCAACCCATGAATCCCTTTTGTGAAACAACACAGACAATCGACAATGTATCAGCAATGATAGAAGTTGAAGTATGATACACAGAGATATGGCCAACGCACAATGCTTAACGCGCACGTGTACGGTAAGGAGAGGACGAACACAAGCGCGTGCACTCCTGTACACGAAGGCTGGGGTAATCAAAATCGCACACGAATAGCAGTTGGGTAGTGCGACAACTCAAGGCCATTCAATATGCGGTCGGATGGACCATTGCGAGCGGGTTTAACGAATGCCGGGTGCCATGAGGCACCCGGGTAATGGCTGTCATAGGTGCGGCGGTTCGACTGAGCCTGATTGGTGCACCGAATGTGGTTGACGCTAACGTTGTACAGGAAAGTATAGTCGAACCCAACAAAACAACTGCATGCATTGATTAGTCACAACACAAAGGAATGGCCAAGGTGGAACGAATGGATGAGAAACAAACACAGATAGGCTGACGATGGCGAAGACCTCTTCTCATTTCGCTTCCGGTCGAGATCTTGTGGAAACTAGTAACATTTGTTCACAAATACAGGGCTACCGATGCGCTTAAGTGCAACACGAAGAAACGGAGTTGCTGTGCACAGTTCGACTTTTGAGCGCGAGGGAGAACCGGATAAAAATGAGTCATGAGGTTTT